CATATTTCCTATACTTACCTGTGAAGATTTTCATGCTTTTTACTGTTACTGTTGGTTCTGTTATTACTGCTCTTATAGGAATGCTGACTTTGACTAAAATTTGTTACTGCTTTTCTGTTTAAAACTTTTTTTTTTTTAGTTGTAAGTAGAATTATGGAACAGTAGTGGAAAAAGTTTGACTTTTGTAATCAGATACTGAGCTTGAGTTCTGGCTCTTTCATTTATATACTGTTATTTGGGGCAAGTTTTTAAATGCTCTTCTAAATCTTAACTTTCTCATATATAAAATGAAGATAATATTGACCATTATCATAGGTTTTAAGGATGAAACAAAAAAAGTAGAAACCTTTGTAAGGTGTCTAGTTTATCTAGTTAACATTTAGTAGTTATTATTTCCACTTTCCGTCCATATAGTCCTCTTAACAGTAATATTTGAGAACCATTTTATTAAGGCAATCTTAAGGAGTGTCCATCAAAGCACATGTTCTAGGATCCTGAGAAAGTAGGGGAAGTTTAGAACTGGAGCCGCACAAAACTAATGGTTACTTTCTGTTTCTTAGATTCTGTTTCCTAGTCCTATATCTCTGATTCCTTATAAAATACTCCATTATGAATTCTTCACTATTGACAATTTCTCCTTCTTTATCTGTACTAAAGAAAGTGTAAAACGTGACTATCTTCTTTATCAGTCCTCTTCTTTTTCCTGTTTTTCATATCAGTGGGTATGAAATTATTAGCAAGGATGCATATATGTGCATATGTCATGACTAAATGCATTTTCTTTCTAGCAAAACTCAGTATACTAAATTATACTAAAAAGGAAAAGCTTGTTTTACTTTGAGTGGTAATATAAAAGTTGTTTTATTTCAGGTCTGACCAGTTAGAAACCAGTGGATTGCATTAACTAATTTATAATTAGTTAAACCTTCATGTGAATTTGGTTTTGAAAAATTTTTTTTTTTTTTTCCTTTTTGAGATGGAGTTTCACTCTTGTTGCCCAGGCTAGAGTGCAGTGGCTTGATCTCGGCTCACTGCAACCTCCGCCTCCTGGGTTTAAGCGATTCTCCTGTCTCAGCCTCCTGAGTAGCTGGGATTACAGGCATCTGCCACCACACCTGGCTAATTTTGTATTTTTTACTAGAGACGGGGTTTCTCCATGTTGGCCAGGCTGGTCTCAAACTCCCGACCTTAGGTGATCCACCCTCCTTGACCTCCCAAAGTGCTGGGATTAAAGGTATTAGCCACCACGCCTGGTCTGAAATTCTTTAAAGTAGAGAAACTATATAGATGTTTTTCAGGGTTTCTGAATGTACAATACAGGTCCACAGTCACTTATCTGAAATTCTTGAGGCTAGGTATATTTCAATATTCAGAGATTTTAATTTTCAAAAAGGTAACACAGATGCATATACTTTTACATAAACACCCCAGTGGGGGTTGGGTCAGTACCTGAAATGAAATGTTTAACTCTTCACTCTTTAATCTTTAAGTGTATTAAAGATTATGTACAATCTTACAACTTCAGATCAGGATTTGCTGCAGTTTAGTTTACCATAAAACTTAAGAGAAAATGTTACTTTTGGGATTTTGGAATTGCAGGTTAAAGAGCTATGGGCCTTTTTTTGTTTTAAAATGCTAAGATTTTATTTTAAATATTTTTTTTTTAATTTCTTTTGCACAGTAGTTGGAGTTACCAAGATACTGCTGACCACAACTGATATATAAGATCTCTTTCTGAGCCTTTTATTGTTTGTAAACATGGCCTGTTAATTATTAGGAAGCCATACATACTAACATATCACTACTATTAGGACAAATATAAGCATACTCTAGTAATGACAAGTCAGCATTTTACCTATTCCGTATTGATTTTACTTATTCTTTTATTACTCTCATACTGTAATTAAAATTTGCAACCCGAGGGCTTTTCAAGAGGGAGAAATGTCTGGTTTAAAAAAAAATTAGCATTGTATCCAAGTAGATTAATTGACATCATTCAGATTTTCTTTCCTGTCCTTATGCTTTTATTATTTTTAACATATATATTTTTGAAGAACAGTTTGAGAATTGTGTATGCTTAACTATGAGATACAGATCCTATTGAAAGTAGTCAGATGCTATTGAAACTGTTTATAGATACTTAAAACATAAAAAAAAATTCCAATAGCATGCAAAATTTTCATATAGGAAATTTGAAGGCATGAAAGCACCTGAATTTGCGGTACCATATATTAGTGGCCTCACAAGTTTTGTGAGCAAATGTATTAGCCCTAATTGCATACACTTAATCTTTTAAGCTTTGGTTTTATATTATGAAATGGGAGTGATAACAGTATCTACTTAATATAATTCTTGTTATTACATGAAACAATTAATGTTAAACATGGCATAATTAATAAATGACACATTATAAAGATTCAGGCAATGTTTTTTAATATTAATACTTTTTTTCTTCCTAAGTGCAAAAGATAACTTTATATCACTTTTAAACTTTCTTTTAGTTGTGCTGAAGACATTATGACACCGCCAAATTTAATTGCAGAGGTAGGTATAAATGTACTATGTTGTATAACTTAAACCCAATAGACAGTATCTTACTGTCATAACAATAGTGAATCATCTAGATTATTGAGTAAGATACATCTTAAGAATGATCTTAAAAATTTTGAAAAAATAAATTTAATTTTGCTGTTGTGATTTAGGGAAAAAGTATTGCATAAAGCTGTTAATATTTTCAGGAAGACTAAAGTGCAGATAGACTAAGAATTAGGAAAATTCCTAGACTAAAAATAGTATAAGGAGATACTGTTTGAGGCAGTTGGTCTAATAATAAGCAAATTTAGGGCGAAAGCAGAACTCTTAACTCTTCTGTGTTGCAGAATGGCATAAAAGGTCAGGAGAATATAACAAATGTTAAGAGGAGCCTGATAGATGAGTGGAGGGAGCTGCTTTAAATGAATTCTACTCCAGGCTTAAGTTAACTCTCAGAGCCCACAAAAACATTCACTTTTATTTGTGAAATACAATTGAGTTCTCTCATGGCTTAACACTGTGAGAGAACTGAAGAGTTGAGAAACTTGGGAGATGCTGCTGTGATAGTCAAAAAGAGAAAGTGGGTGCCATGAGGGTACTGATTGTGATATATTTGCCGTTGATCCCTCCTGAAAATCTAGAATGGACTTTCAGACAGTTGGTTTGAAAATTCTAAATCGGGCCGGGGCGGTGGCTCAAGCCTGTATGTAATCCCAGCACTTTGGGAGGCCGAGGCAGGTGGATCACGAGGTCAAGAGATTGAGACAATCCTGGTCAGCATGGTGAAACCCCGTCTCTACTAAAGATACAAAAAATTAGCTGGGCATGGTGGCACGTGCCTGTACTCCCAGCTACTCGGGAGGCTGAGGCAGGAGAATTGCCTGAACCCAGGAGGCGGAGGTTGCAGTGAGCCGAGATTGCACCATTGCACTCCAGCCTGGGTAAAAAGAGCGAAACTCTGTCTTAAAAAAAAAAAAATTCTAAATCACTAGTGATTGAGATTTAGTATAGATTCACTAAGAATGTTTTTTTGTTTTTGTTTTGGTGGATTTAGGCTGTTGTTTACTAAGCAAAGCAGGTTTTAGTTCAGGTTTATCTTGCTTTAAATAGACATCTAACAGATTTTCCTGGAGGTTTTTCTGTACCCCTGGGAAAATGAAGTTAGGGAGATGACTAAGTGAAAGCTGTCCTGCTGACTTCCTATAATGACAGTCATTGTCTACCAGAAGAGCTCTCCTTTCACACCAAAGGACTTAATTGATTGTATCCTGTACACAATATGAGTGACTTGACTGGATATATAAGACATACTTCTCATATATTTAGATGACACAGGATAGTACATTGAATATCAGTCAGGGTTTTTAAGGATCTTAATAGAGTGGAACTAAGGTAGATACTACTAAAAACAATTAATAGTGATATATTGTAGTCCTGTTTCTAAAAGAGTTTTTTTAAAAAAACCTCAACCCTGACTATAGTGAACAGAAAAGTATTGGACTCTTAATAATTCATGTGACAAGACCTGAAACTTTGATAACAATTATATACATTTTGTAAGTAATTTCTTTGGTATATACCTTCACATATCTCTGATATGTAACCTATGCTACCAGTCCATTTAGTGTAAATTCCCAGAATGTATTCTCCTGCATAAAATGGAGGAAAATAATACTTGGCTTTCCTAATGATTACATATGTATACAACACTAACATTTACAAGACCACCTTTAAATAACACACTTAGCATTTTTATTTTTTGAAATGTAATATGCAGTTTTTTCCATAGTTTATCCTATTAGTAATCTGTTCTATCTTTGGACTATGTTTTGTGATGATGAAATAAATACTGTAAATAGTATTATTCCTTTTGCATTGAGAGTCCTGACAAAATGTTCATGTGTTATTTCATTTTGGGTTTAGCTCTACCTCTAATATGTGACCTATGCTACTAGTCCATAGAGCATAAATTCACAGAATGTATCCTCCTGAATAAAATGGGGGAAAATAATACTTGGTTTCCCTAATGATTATATTTAAAGTTAGCAAGAGACTATTTTCTATTTAAAAATTATTTAAGCAGTATGTTATTTTTTTTCTGGAATCCAGTGTTTCTTTTAAATACTTGTTAAGTTTTATGCAACATTTCTAAAGTTAACCTACTTGTAATTAAAAATTCTGAGATTTTGTTTTCTTATTCTGAGGTTGTCTTTTTACCACAGTTGCACAATATCCTTTTGAAGACCATAACCCACCACAGCTAGAACTTATCAAACCCTTTTGCGAAGATCTTGACCAATGGCTAAGTGAAGATGACAATCATGTTGCAGCAATTCACTGTAAAGCTGGAAAGGGACGAACTGGTGTAATGATTTGTGCATATTTATTACATCGGGGCAAATTTTTAAAGGCACAAGAGGCTCTAGATTTCTATGGGGAAGTAAGGACCAGAGACAAAAAGGTAAGTTATTTTTTGATGTTCTTCCTAGATCTGAAAATTTATTGGAAAACGGATTTTGGTTTTTTTTTCCTTAGTTTTTATTGAGGTGTAATTGACAAATAAAAATTTTATATAAATATAGTGTATAAAATGATGTTTCGATATATGTATACATTGTGAAATGATTACTACAGTCAATCTACTTAACATATTCATCACCTCACATAATTATTCTTTCCCCCCAGGTTGAGAGCATTTAAGATCTACAATCTTCAATTTTCAATTATGCAATGTTATTATTAACTATAGTCACTATGCTATCCAGTAGATCCTCAGATCTTATTCATCTTGTGTCCCTCCATCCCCCTCAGTCCCTGGAAAATAGGTTTTAAAGATAGTTGCTAATCCTTTTTTCTTTTAAATTTTTAAATCACTTGCTGCCTCAGTTTCTATATAAGGAAATCATTTCATTTTTCTGTTCACGGTACCATTTTCATATCATACTAGCACATGTTACCCATTAACTATATTGCAGATTTGGTCTCACAAAATCATTCTAAAATAACATTTTTTAAACGCATATTACTAAAAAATAAGCTTTGTATTTCTGAAGCTTGCTTGATCATAGTGTATGCCTTTGGATAAACTTGGATATTATAACCTAGTAGAGTGTGAACTTTTATAATACATACAAATTATTTTATGAGAATATTCATAAATGTAGTTATAATTAGATTAATCAAAGATTTTTGATCAGAAAACTAAGGACTATATTGAAAATCAGTCACAAATTTAATTCTTATAGTACATCTGAAAGGAAAAAGAAAACTCTTGGGAGAACTTTTACAGTGATTTAATTTTGCTGTTGATGTATTTCTTTGGGTGGTAAGTATAGCAAAACATGGAAACATTTAATACAAAGAGATTTTGTACATTTTTTCCATCTCTAAGAAGGGCAAAGTCTAAGTCCCTCCAGTTATATTAGAAAAACTGATTTAGAGAGTTCTTCATGTTAAGCTAATTTCTTCTTAATCCAGCTGAAAACAGAAATAGAACGATCATATTAATCATTTTAAGCTGTGTAGTTGCATTGATGCCTTGTTCCTTTACCCCTTTCTCATCTCTTGTTTCCTTACCTTTGTGACCTTTTTTACCTTATATATAAGGATCCCAAAGTACTATTTATTGTTGATAGTTTACAAAATTGAATCTTATATTAGTGCATAATTTCGGTGAATGTTGAAGATTATGGGAGATTGCCTTACATTTCTTCATCATATTGTTTGCACCTTGGAGTGATAGCACTGGCATGAATTATAGAGCTGAGGATCTAAAGATGTTTACTTTGACTTATCCCATTATCATCTGGAGGGAAACAATTGCTTTTACTGATTTAAAATATAAAAGGCAAATTATTCTATATGTCAGTGAGTAAATGCAGTACAGCACAGGGAAAAAAGACTGCTGGGAAGAGAAGTATAGAGAAATGGGTAAAATTAAAATGCAGTAGCAAAAGCAGTGGTAGAAATTTAAACCAGAGTTGATGAGCAGCAGATATCTTGGTAGTGGGAAAAAAATCAGGTAAAAAAATTTTTGTAATAAAATAGAAAAATTATGTAATGTGGAGGCACAGAACACTAGATTTAAGCTAGAGGGTCTTATATTGTGTTACATACCTTATAAAGGTCTGATGGAAGCTATAAATGTTCTCCCACTAAAAAATGTGCATAGTGTACATAAAATTTTGCACATTTATATTGAAACATGTTCTTTTAAACAGAATGTAAAAGAATCTTCATGAGAAGTATGTCACATTTTTTTTCGTGTAAAAACCAGTGGCCACTATGTGAGAGCAATGAATAAATCTAAATGGTACAAATTAACCAAATTTAAGCTGTAGTTCTATTTAATACTAAATTTTAATGAATAGGCTGCTATTTAACTTTTAAAATAACAAGTTGAAACTATGTTCTTGTCTTTGACTTTGAAACTTTTTTTTTTTGAGACGGAGTTTCGCTCTTGTTACCCAGGCTAGAGTGCAATGGCACGATCTTGGCTCACCGTAGCCATCGCCTCCTGGGTTCAGGCAATTCTCCTGCCTCAGCCTGCTGAGTAGCTGGGATTACAGGCACGCGCCACCATGCCCAGCTAATTTTTTGTATTTTTAGTAGAGATGGGGTTTCACCATGTTGACCAGGATGGTCTCGATATCTTGACCTCGTGATCCACCCACCTTGGCCTCCCAAAGTGCTGGGATTACAGACTTGAGCCACTGTGCCCGGCCTGACTTTGAAACTTTTATGTAATCTTTGATATCCAATCAATGTTGACTTTGGTGAGAAGTGCTGAAAACACTATTTCACAAAAGAACAAAAGAGTAAATGGAAACTGTAGATTCTATTGCCTTATGAAAATAGACGTGTTAAGAAATAAGAATTCTCCTAGACTCTTCAGATAAATTCATGTTGCATCATTTTATTTGCCTTCAAGTTACTGAGATCATGTTTGGCAAGATCTGTATCATTAATGCTGTGTTAGGAAGGAAAAGATTATGACTCCAAATTTTGCTTTTAAGATTGAAGAGTTAAACTCTTTAAAAAGAATGTATTTTATCCTGTAAAGAGCAGTATCAGGCTATAGACTTTGTCTTCTGAACTTACATATAGTAAAGAACTTTATAGTGCTCCCATTTCTTGACAAAACCTCTTGAGGGCCGGGCGCGGTGGCTCACGCCCGTAATCCTAGCACTTTGGGAAGCCAAGGTGGGTGGATCACCTGAGGTCAGAAGGTCAAGACCAGCCTTGCCTTCATGGTGAAACCCCATCTTTAAAAAAAAAACAAAAAACAAAAAACACCTCTCGAGAAGCTCTTGATTAAAAGTCTTGGCTTTCATGAATCTGGCAACTTTCATAATAGTAGATTTTTCATGACAAATCCTCTTACACAGGCAGTTATCAAGGATTGGCACTTGAAATGGTAGAATACTTTCACAACAACAGATAAGATTTCTTTCAGGATTGATGACAGTCTTGCACCCCAGTGTATATTGATGAAGAGAGCAGTGGGTGACAGTGACACAGAGAGCTTCTCTCTTTACCAGTGCCACAAAATCAGATGTGTTGTCTGGCAGTAAGGTGTACTGTCTGCCTACAGAATACTGAGGTTTCTTCAGGAGAAGTTCTTTGGTAAAGAAACTTTACCATTTTGAAAGTGTTCATGTTTTCTGAAGTTTCTAAAAAGGACTCCAGAATGGGAATGTTTTCTTGATTGTGTCACCATATTTGTATTTGATGAAAACTAGTAGCTGGCTATACTGAGAAATCATATCTGAAGAAAGGTGCTACTTTCAGTCTTCCTAGTTCATTCTTTTTAGCATCAGGGTTTTTTGGGGGAATGGATAAAAGTATTTGCAACAGAGGTACTGCAACAGTCTTTTCTGCTTCATGCTACAAATATGTTTGACTCTTTCTAGGATACTTGCCTTCACCCGTTCAACTGTGTGACATTTTTATTTATTTAGCATTGCAATCAATAGCCTGGTAGGGTGATATAATCAAGGATTTTTAATTGGAACAAATAGTTTTTGTAATGGTCTAGGCTTTTCCAACTAAACTGTGCTCTCACATGTGGTCTCTTTTTCTCCCTCTTCCCTCCCTCTTATACACTCCCACCCACATACATATGCATACATACCTTGTCTGATATGCTGCTTCTTCAGAATAGTTAGCTGTGCTCTGCTGATGGTGACAACTTGCCACTTTGTGAAGGACTTGGGGTAGTCCATCTCATCATGTCCAGGGTTGAAAGTAAAACCCAAGGATATTTAAACTTTATTTTCTGTTTCCAGTCCAAATTAAATCCAAGAGAAGTCTCCATAATAAAAAATTTGCCAGTGGGAAGATATTCTAGTCATCACAGTCTGGTAATACTATCAATTCTGTTTCTCTTCAGAGTTCAGGAGAAAATATTTGATGAAGTTGTAAGTCCTGTAGGATGTTATGAAGTAGGGCCAGAATGAAAGATAGCAAGAAAAGTAGTTATGAAAATAAAATGCAAAGCTTATAGTATCATGTGGTAAAATGTAATAGTACCTACTTCATCAGTAGAATCGCTCTAGGCATCTTCTCCATCCTTAATGTAGGTTGGAAGATCCCCCAGGTGAAAGGAGATGGTGGGCAAATAGTAAATAGAAATTGGAGATCTGTACATGTAGTGTTAAGAATGTAAGTAGTAAAATTGTTATGTTTTACTGTTACATAATATTAAGACTTGGAGTTAAGGAATTTCACTGAAGTTGATCACTTTTTGTATCTTGGAGTCAAAATAAATAAATTACTTTACTTGGCTCGTGCTTAATTAATAGACCATATTATGGGTGAATTATTCACAGGATTGAAAGGAGTATTCTAATGTGTTCTTACCTTCTTTATCCCTGTGTTTACTTAAAAAGGCAAAAAAAAAAAAAAATTTAGGAGCAGATGCTGTTGACCGTATTTTGCTAAACAGTGGCATTTGTGTTTAGACTGAAACAGCATTAGAAAACTAGATATGGATAAAAGTCAATGGTAGAATTGTTTTTTTCTTCCAGGGATATGTCTGATAGATGATCAAACAGGCCCAGAAAGGGGAAGTGTTGCAATCAATATTAATCCAGTTAATAATAACATTCACAGTAAAATTTGAATCCTCTGATATGCTGTTAAATTTCTTTCTACACTATCAAATCCACAAATCCTGGAACTGCAAAAGAATTTTGAGACTGTTCAAAATAATTAATCTCTGTACAAGGTCAGGCTCTCCTGTAAGGTTATGTAATGCTGATGAAATTGGTCTGTTTTGAAAGGCTCCTCAGCTTATACCCTTTCTTACAAATGCTAAATCATTTAGTGACCCCTGATTTAAAGAGAATTTGGATAGATTGAGGTTGTTGGTTTTGGAAATATAATATTGCAGGCTCCTGTAAAATATTTGAAATGTCATTGTTTTAAAACTTTCAAAGATACCATTTGTTGGCCTATTGGTTAGAATGCTAGTGAAATAAATTTTAATCCTTTATGAATAATTTCATCATAAAACTTAGCTAGGTAAAGCTGTTATACAACTGTGGAATTCTTCCTGAGAAGTAAATATCTTACATATAATTGATTATCTAAAGTAGTTTCATTCATGGAATATCTGATAATAGGTTTATCCTTCTCTTGTCAGTATTTCCTTGTAGGTTGAGCCTGTGGATTTGCGTTTTTTTAATTGTGAATCACTATTATAGCAGATACATATATTTTATCTACTTTGCAGTTTGGGATTAACTTTATTAGATTATCTTTAATGTTATTTTGCTTATATCCTTAACTTTACAGACAAACATGAAGAAACCGAAGAAAATTATGTTTTAGTGACATTTATATAGAAGAATAATCTTTTTTTCCCCTTCTCTTTTGAAGAGAGACAAGGCAGTCATCATATTTTTGTAAAGAATTTGTAGACTTTGCAGAGCTCTCCTCAAAATAATCTGGCTCAGGGTCTTGGCATATCCTCAGCAGATGTGGTACAAATTAGATGGCAGAGTGCTGGGTACCAGTTGACCATAAAATAAGGCATTAGGTTAGTAATGCTCAAATAATACTTTGGGTTTTGAGTGTTACACAGAAGTCAGACAACTGATACTATAAAGAAAAATGTTCTGAGAGTGAGATAACTGCTTGAGGGAAGGAAGGCTTCTTCTGTTTTTTATTCACGAATTTACAAGAAGACAATTGTGTTATACTTCCTTAGGAGTCATTCATTTGTGTATTTGATACTTTGGCTTTACAAACATGTGACAGATTATTAAAACGCAAGCTGTGGGTGGTTTTTTTTCTTCCAAGAAAGCATGCTGCAGGGCAACTTCTAGGGTTGGTTCTAATCTAGTCCTATGCTCCCACACAATGTGCAGCTGCACTTAGGTTTTAGTATTAGATAGCTCACGTGTTTATTTTAAACTATGAAGAAAGAGTTAAAACATCCTGAGAATGCTAGTAAGTATGTATTTCAGAAGGACTCCCAAAATTTGAGTTTAAAGAGGTAAACTCATATTACATGACAAAGTTACTTAGAATCACTGCTGTTTCCCTCTCTTTCCCTTACCTTCTCCCTGTCCCATACATACCCCCAACTGTGTTCCAGAATGGCGGCACATAAAGTAATAAAGTAATTCATATTAATTTCCTTTTTTTTTTTTTTTTTGAGACTTGATCACCCAGGCTGGAGTGCAGCAGTACAATCTCAGCTCACTGCAACCTCTGCCTCCTGAGTTCAAGTGATTCTCCAGCCTTAGCCTCTTGAGTAGCTGGGATTACAGGTGCACACCATCATGCCTGGCTAATTTTTGTATTTTTAGTAGAGATGGGGTTTTGCCTTGTTGGCCAGGCTGGTCTTGAACTCTTGACTTCAAGTGATCCACCTGCCTCAGCCTCCCAAAGTGCTGGGATTGCAGGCATGAGCCACTGCCCCTGGCCCCTTACTTTTTCTTTGGTTAAACTTTTAGGAAAAATGTTTGAGACACGTTAGAGATAAACTTTCTGTATATTAGGACCTCTGTGTATATGAGTTCATTGAGCTTATTAATGAGGATAACTCTTCTAGAAATAATAGTTGTTAACTTTAAGTGATCTAAAGAAAAGGAAAATTTTTAGTTTTCTGGGGAATGAATATTCATGACCTAATCTTAAATCAGGTTATTTTTCTAGTCTGTTTACTAAATTTGTACATATTGTAACCTAATGAAATGTTCTTATTTCCTCTTTATTTAAAACAAAACTATAATTACTGTCTGTTAAAAAATCTTCCCTCTAGCATTCTTATTTTTCCTAACATATTCTTATTTTTCCTGGGCCAAACTATGTTCCTATGATATGCATTATTTAAGGCTGTTATATAATATAATAAAATTGTATAACTTTCATACCTTGGAGGATCTTAGCACTTATTTAATTCAAACTCATTCTAACATAGATGATAAAACAATTCTGCAGGATTGGGCATGGTGGCTCATGCCTATAATCCCAGCACTTCGAGAGACTCAAGCAGGAAGATTGCTTGAGCCCAGGAATTTAAGACCAGTTTGGGAAACATAGTGAAACGCTGTCTCTACCAAAAAATATATATATAAAAATAGCCAGGCATTGTGTCACCTGCCTGTAGTTTCAGCTACTTGGAAGGTTGAGGTGGGAGGATTGCTTGAGCCTGGGAGGTTGAGACTGCAGTGAGCCATGGTCACACCACTGCACTCTAGCCTGGGTAACAGATCGAGACCTTGTTTCACAAAACAAAACAAACAGATCTACAAAGATCAACCTGTCCTAAGTCATATAATCTCTTTGTATAATAACTCAAGACACCATCTTCTAACCTCAAACCTGGTGCTTTTTTTTTGCACAAAATGAGTTCTGCTGTCCAAATTATTTATTATTTTGATTCCTAAAATAGAAATAGAAACTAAGAAAAATAAAAAGCAACTCCTTTATAATATATGAGGACTTTTTCAGTTTCAAATAAAAAAAACCCAACTCAAAGTACCTTAAACAAAAGGAGACATTTATTGACTTACATAACCTAAAAGCTCTCACCTGGATTCAGGTGCTCAACAGATCTCAAGAATATTTCTCTTTTTCTCTCTACCTTCCTTACCCTCCTCCTCTTTTCTCTCTTCTATATGTATGTTATTTTCAAACACGTTCCCACAAGTAGTGGCAATATATAGTTCCTAATAGCTTCAGGTTTACATTCTGCCTACTTTACCAGCTCTGATGGGAAGAGAGCTACAATCGGAGCAAAAATTTGTAGGGTGAGTTCTGATTACCCTGGATTGAGGCACATGCCTATTCCTGAACCAAATATTCTGGCCAGGGAATGGAATTCTCTGGGACATGTGTCTAAAGCTGATGTACAGAACCTGCCACCCCCAACACAGGGATAATAATAGTTTTCCAAAGAAAAATCAAGGAGGAGAAAGAATGTTGGGAAGAGAAAGAAATATCAGCTGTCTGTTTCATATTTATTCTCAACAATTCTGTAGATCGTCTACAACTATTTAGTGTATAACTTAAAATTAGTATCATAGAACTGAAATACCATAACACTCTAAACTTTAGATTATTTGTAGTCAGGAAAAATAAGAGATCAAAGAAGCTGTGACTTCATTCAAATCACATAGTTTCTATACATGCTGTTAGTAAAACCCAGGACACCTGAGTACAAGTTTTATCCTTATATTCACATTGAGGTCCAGATCCTGGTTTTGAATGAGATAATTATGCATAGTGGGACTGTTTTCTGATCCTCAAAATAGAGATGATAATATTTATCTTGTAAAGTTGTGGTAATGTTAAAGATACATCTAAAATGTTGGCAAGTACCTTAATAGATGATAACTACTGCTGTATCTTGTCATTGTAATAAAAGCTGTATTTCTTCCTTTGTTGAGTTGCTTCCCTTTAGTAATCTTATTGTGATCATTCTAAAACATAGATTTCCGTTGCTTCTTCAAGCAAACACCATTATGTTGAAACATCTGCATTATTTCTAAGTTTAGCAGTACCAGTGGAAAGTTTACCGAAGTAGAAAATTACTTTTTTAACTGAAGAGTGTAGATTGTGAATTCATCTTAGAGAAGATGATCTGAATATTGATGCCTAGAATATGAACAAAACATTACATATCTTGTGCTATGATATTAAAGTAGTATCCTGTTCTGGTAGTAGTATGGCAGTATTTTAGGTCTGAAAGATGTATATAATCTATACTTTAAAGTCTGTTTTTTAAGGGATTAATCACAAGAGATTTACATAAAACAAGGTTTAAAATAAATGGTGGATTAGAGATACATCAGGCAAATTTAAATTTCAAAAGCAGATGACAGGGTCTCAGTATCAGAACAGCATTTAAAGCAAAAAGCATTAAACTGGATCAAAAATGTCATTTTACATTGCACAGGGTACAGTCCAGGGAAGACTTAGCAGTTATGAACCAATGTGCTAATAAGCATAACATCAAAATGTATTAAGCAAAGAATTCATTTCTTCTGAAAGAAATGAAGAATAGTTGGTAGAAAAGCAGTGATAGGAATTTTTAATGTACTTTAAAGGCACAAAGAAGGTACAATCATGTACCACATAATGATGTTTGAGTCAGCATCTGACCTCATATATGACAATGGTCCTATAAAATTATAATGGGACTAAAAAGTTTCTATCACCTGGTGACTTTGTAGCCATTGCAGGGCAGTGTATTCACTCACGTGTTTGTGGCAGCGCTGGTGTAAGCAAACTTAACTGCTGTCAGTTGTATAAAAAGCATAGCACAGATAGTTATGTTCAGTATGTAATACTTTATAATGTTAAATGAATGTTACTAGTCTACATGTTTATAGTACTATACTTTTTTATTATTTTAGCATGTACTCCTGCTTGTTTAAAAAATGTTAACTATAAAACATTCTTTAAGCAGATCCTTCAGGTGGTATTCCAGAAAAAGATATTATTGTCATAGGAGTTAGCAGCTCTATGGATGTAATTGCCCTGTAAGACCTTCCAATGGGACAAGATGTATAGGTGGAAGACAGTGATATTGATGAACCTGACCTTGTAGAGACCAAGGTTAAAGTGTGTGTGTATTTATTAGTTTTTAACAAGAATTTATAAACAATAATAATAAATTTAAAAATAGAAAAAAGGTTATAGAATAAGGATATAAAGAAAAAAATTTTGTATCGCTGTGCAATGTGTTTTAAGCTAAATGTTACAAAAGAGTCAGAATTAAATTTTTTTATGTTTATAAAGTGAAACAGTTATAAAATGCTAAGGTTAATTTATCAAAGAAAGAAAAAATTTTTAAATAAATTTAGAGTAGCAAGTTTATAAAATCTACAGTAGTATACAGTAATATCCTAGTACTTTACATTAACTCACCACTCACCCACCAGGGCAGCTTCCAGTCTCTCAAGCTCCATTTGTGGTAAGTGCCCTATACAGGTGTACTGTTTTTATATCCTTTATACCATTTTTACTGAACCTTTTCTATGTTAGATACACAAATACCATTGTGTTACAGTCATCTATGATACTGAATACAGCAATATGCTGTGCTGGTTTGTAGCGTAGGAGGTGTAACATGTAGCCTAGATGTGTAGTGAGCTATACTATCTAGGTTTGTGTAAGTATATTGTATGATACAATGATGAAATCACCCAGATGCAGTTTCTTTTAAGCAACACAGTACTGTATATAGGTGGTTTGAATAATAAAATAGTGAAGTGTATTTTTTTTTCTGTCATTCATAAAACAGTTACCAATCTTAGGAATTAGATCAACTACAAAACAAAAATCTCACTCAAAAATCAAAATTTATAAGTTCCATTTCCTTGGTTACAATTCATTAGAACTAGAATTTTTTTTTAAATGTCCAAATTTATATGGAAATAAAAAACCATGTTTTAAATAGTTTTTGAATAAATGAGGAAATGTAAACTTACATTAGAAATTAAGATTAATAAGTAGTGATTTATAAAGGCAAAAATGTACCATTTGAACTAATCTAAATACCGATTGCATGAAAATGCCAATAAAGGCTGGGCGCGGTGGCTCAAGCCTGTAATCCCAGCACTTTGGGAGGTCGAGGCAGGTGGATCATGAGGTCAAGAGATTGAGACCATCCTGGTCAACATGGTGAAACCCTGTCTCTACTAAAAATACAAAAAATTAGCTGAGCACGCCTATAATCCCAGCTACTCGGGAGGCTGAGGCAGGAGAATTGCCTGAACCCAGGAGGCGAAGGTTGTGGTGAGCCGAGATCATACCATTGGACTCCAGCCTGGGTAACAGCAGCGAAACTCCATCTCAAAAAAAAAAAAAAAGAAAATGCCAATGAAATCAATACATATTTTTAAGCCAGTCAAGGAAAAAAGAAAAGAGGGAAACTAAAAACAAGATATTAAGTATGAGAAAGGAGATAAAACTACAGTGTGGAGATGATGTTAAACATTATATTCACATTTGTGCTAACCATTTTGGAAATTTCAAAGAGAAATGGGCAATTTTCAGTGAATATGTCATCATAAATGTTTTAAGGCAAGAGAAGAAAATCTGACTAGATCCTACAATAATGAAAATGTCTAGGAGCCCTCAAGAAATATTTGGTTTAAATTGCATTTCAGGTGATTGCTTATCAAACCTTGAAGTATCAAATAATTATGTTATCTAAATTGGACCAGGTGATAGAAAATATGTAAGATTTAACTGGTGCCTGCTTATGTAGCCCTTATACCTTAATCTGATAAAATAGCATATATTTAAAAAGAGAGAAAACCAGAAGGTACAATTCAGGGAAAATTTTTTTTTTTCCATTTGGCCAAAGTAAGAGTACATTCAAGGGAATTGTGAGAGGTAAGAGTGGAAAAAGAGGTTGGAGCTATATTTTTATGCTGTGATTGAATTATAGTGTGTGATAAATTGCTCTTGTTTCGGTAGAATACCATTTAACATTTTGAATTAATTGGCAATTGGATTAATATTAATTTTAAAAAGTCAGAGAGTGGTGTAAAGGATGGATTACAGAATAGATAAAGGGTGATAAATAAATCAGTTGGCTCTGGCAGAATTGCAGGAAGAAATGGAAATAGGCCATAGAAAACCGAAGCTGACGTTTTGAGTAGTATTTCAGAATCAAAATCTGGATTTCGTCAACTGAATAGATGTGTAGGAATCAAAGATGAGTAGATTAATAAACTTAATTTTTGATTTGTCTCTCATTTTAGTTTGTAACATTAGTGTGTATGCATGTATGTATGTGCCAGGTAGTTAATACGCTGTGTCTCTTACCTCCATTCTGCTGCCTGAGCTTTTGCCATAGTGCTGGAGTTCCCTCACTTCTCTTTCTGTAGCTCTTTTATATCACTGCTGTCTTTCAGCTATGTTTCCTTCCTCAAGCAGAAAGAAGATGGCAGGATCATATAGTAGTTGACTAGAAGCTGTGGATGTAGTTGCTAACTAGTGCTGGGATAATATCTACTATATCTGTGCATATAGTAGTTGACTAGTGCTAGGATGATACCTAGTTCCATTACTTATGAAGATAAATGACCTTTCTTCATCTATAAAATGTTTTATCAATATTACCCTTCTTATATGGTTTTATGAGTATTAAATTATGCATTTCTAAAGACATTAGAGCAATATAAAGAATATGGTATGGGCTCAATAAGCAGTGGTGGTAGTAGTTATTAGAAGGCCATCTAGTACTGAAGAAAATAGTGAATATCACTGATGGAAGTAAGGAAGGTTTTCCGTATAAAAAAGCTTTGGTTTTTGGAAATGTGTATTTTAAGTATTTCTGAGATTACCAGATAGAAATTCCAGCCAGATGTTGGAATTATGCCCTGGCAGTTGGGAATAAAGTCATATTGAGGGAGATGAGGTTTGGAGTTATTATGTAAAACTGGATAATTAAAGCACTGGAATAGATTGGATTGACAGAGGGGAAAATCTTTTGAGATATGCCTATATTTAACAATAAGAGAAGAGACAACCAATAGAGGTTGGAAGAACCTTAAGAGAGTAAGTCCTATGACACAAGCAGGGTAGTTTCAGAATGGGTGCAGAAAAATCAGCCAGACTCGTCCTATTCTCCATCATGGTGCAGGATCAAGGTGAAAAAGAGAACCCCATGCAGGAACTTTTCATGTGCAGACTCTGCCTCAACATATTTTTAGGAGAAACTGGAGACAGACTGACCTGAGTAACCAAGGTGTTGGAACAGCTCACAGACCAGAACCCTGCATGTTTTCCAAAGCTAGGTGACTGTTAGATCCTTTGGCAACAGGAGAAATGAAAAGACTGCTGTCTGCTGCACATTTCGAGGGGTCAAGGCAGAAGAAATCCTGGAGAAAGGTCTAAAGGTGCACGAGTGTGAATTAAGAAAAAATAACTTCTCAGATACTGGAAATTTTGGCTTTGGGATCTAAGAAAACATCGATTTGGGTATCAAATACGACCCAAGCATTGGTATCTACAGCCTGGACTTCTGTGTGGTGCTGGATAAGCCAGGTTTCATCATTGCAAATAAGAAGTGCAGGACAGGCTGCACTGGGGCCAAACAGAATCAATAAAGAGGAGGCCATGTGCTGATTCCAGCAGAAGTATGATGGGATCATCCTTCTTGGCAAAAAAATTCTCATTTCTACCCAAGAGGCCAATAAAAAGTGTTCAGTAAAATGTTTTAAAAAAAATCAGCCAGTAGCCAGGATTGAACTGTGAAAACAGTAGGAAATTGGTTGTTGAGAAAGCACCTTTAAGAAATCAGCCTCAGCTGGGCATGGTGGTGCATGCCTGTAATCCCAATACTTTGGGAGGCTGAGGCAGATTTCTTGAGTCCAGGAGTTTGAGGCCAGCCTGGGCAACATAGCAAAATGCTCATTTCTACTAAATAAATAGATAACCTTCATTTCTACTAAATAAATAAGCAGACAAGCAGGGCTTGGTGTTAATGCTCCTGTACTCCCAGCTACTCAGGAGGCTGAGGCAGTTGAACCTGGGAGGCAGAGGTTGCAGTGAACCAAGATTGCACTACTGCACTCCAGCCTGGGTGACAGAGTGAGACTATGGCACCCCTCTCCCCTCCAAAAAGAAATCAGCCTCATAGTAACCAGTTTCTCTGGATTAAGGAGTAAGAGCTTCTCAAGAATTGCTAATTTTTTTTTTTTTTTGAGACAGTTTCGCTCTTGTTACCCAGACTGCTGGAGTGCAATGGCGCGATCTCGGCTCACCGCAACCTCTGCCTCCTGGGTTCAGGCAATTCTCCTGCCTCAGCCTCCTGAGTAGCTGGGATTACAGGCACGTGCCACCATGCCCAGCTAATTTTTTTGTATTTTTAGTAGAGACGGGATTTCACCATGTTGACCAGGATGGTCTCGATCTCTTGACCTCGTGATCCACCCGCCTCAGCCTCCCAAAGTGCTGGGATTACAGGTTTGAGCCACCGTGCCTGGCCAAGAATTGCTATTTATAGAGACAGAGGCTGATAGTTTGAGAGAGATACAGAATCTAGGGAGAGTGTGGGTTTTTGGTCTTTCAGTTTTTTGTCAGCTCTGGATAAAAAATAAAGATTATCTGAGCATATTATTTAGAGACAGGTGGAAAGAATAAAGGCACATGCCAGATAGTAGATAATTAATAAAGCACTTGCCCACAATAGACCCATGTTGAACAGGAAAAGACATCAAGCATGAAGAGATTTTAAGATGGGAGAATGGAATTTTGAGTGTTCATATTGGATGATCTCAGGGTTCCCAGTAAAATGGGAGCTGAATTCATTGAAGATGATGTGTTGGTCAGGATAAAAATTGAGGTTGGGAGAACAAAGTGCTAAAAATCATTGTGGTCAAGAGTTTAATAAATGTATACCAGAAGAGTTATTGAGTGATATGGGTTTGAAATAGTCAAAGGTATAGGAAAGAGGGCTGGAAGGAATATTAGGAGCACTAAATGTAATAACTTTTGAGGTCCACCACCTGGTCTGTGAACATAAAGGAGTTGAAAGAGTAATGGTTGACTTTTGAGATGATGGCCAGGAATGTGATGCTAAGTCAACATGAAGAATGCTAACTTTAGCTAAAGTTAGAATGTGTTTAAAGTTGTATTTGAGCAAAAAAGGTTAAGGATACAGTTGCCTGTTTGATAATGTGAAAGCTAGGAATGTCAACCCCCTGCACAGTTGAAAATCTGCATAAAACTTTTGAGTCCCTAAAAACTTAACTACTAATAGCCCACTGTTGACCAGAAGCCCTACCCATAACATAAACAGTCAATAACACACATTTTGTATATATATTCTTACAATAAACTAGACAAAAGAACATGTATTAAGAAAATCATAAGGAAGAGAAAATACATTTACAGTACTCTACTGTATTTATTGGTACCATACATTTATGTGTACTGTTTACAAGGTGAAGCATCTGTCTGAAATGGCCAGCAGCTACAGCTGTACATATCTACTGTACATATCAAGCAAGTGAACTTATTCTTAAAATGTCATGACTTTTCTCTACTTCTTGAGAGCACTTCCATCAGCACTATTGGCACCTCTTATGGGTCTCAGGGTGTTACAGTTTACGGAGTTGCACTAAACACAATGAAAAATACACAAAGAACCATGAGAGGGATAGCTTTTTATTGCAATACACAATTTACTGGAGAGAAGAGCTGCTTATACAGAGATGATTAGTGTCACACAGTGCTTTAAACAGATTCTTGCAACCCTTGAGCTCATTGCAGTAGCCACAGAAGGTAGCTATGAGATTTTAACAGTAGTATAGTTTGTACTACAGTTAATATTATGTTGCTATGATTTAATGCTGCGTCTTTGCATTTGTTTGCGTGGTATGTCTGGTCTTAAAAGTTTGTATGTGTATGTTTTAATGCATTTTAACTTTTTATAATAGACTTGTGTATTCATAACATAGACTTAACTTTTTCTTAATTTTTTGATATTTCTAGGCTATGTATTTCATCTGCAGGTTTTTTCAAATTGTTGCAAATCTCTGAAAAAATACATTGAAAAAAATCCATATATATATATGGACCCACACATTTCAAAAGTGTTCAAGGGTCAGCTGTATAAATAATTTTCTTCACAATTAAAGTGAAAAAGGAGAGATACTACTAGTAGAAAGTAGAACTATACCCTCAGAATGTGTGTGTGTGTGTGTGTGTGTGTGTGTGTGTGTATACACATATATAGTTACAGATAAATTTAACTTAAAAGTTCGTGGTTAGAGAATAAAACTGGCCCTTAATAGTCTTAATTTACATAAAATAGGAAAAATTTTAGGCCAGGCGCAGTGGCTCATGCCTGTAATCCCAGCACTTTGGGAGGCCAAGGTGAGCAGATTACTTGAGGTCAAAAGTTCAAGACCAGCCTGGCCAACATGGTGAAGCCCCATCTCTACTAAAAATTAGCCAGGTGCAGTGAAACATGCTTATAATCCCAGCTACTCAAGAAGCTGAGGCGGGAAAATTGTTTGAACCTGGGAGGTGAAGGTTGCAGTGAGTTGAGTTTGTGCTACTGCACTCCAGACTGAGCGACAGAGTGAGACTCCGTCTCACACCCCACCCCAAAAAAAGAAAAATTAGAAAACATAGAGTATTTTTTAATCTCCAAGAGCTTTAAAGTTCAACCCTTTATTCATATGTATAAGCTTCTTCTGTAAAATTTTAATTCAGTAGGGACTTCCCATTCATTTGAAATCCTATATTGCAAATATTAATTCAGTTTTAGTGAGTTTGCAAATGAGGCCTAGAATGAGGAGGTCACATTGGAGACTCTGCAACAGATACATGTGAGCCTCCTAACTTTAAAATTTTTGTTAGTCTAGAAGTGTTGAATTTCTGGTGCTGACAAGGCAGCAGGTAGATAAAAATTGCAAAGTTAAGAAATAGACTAATTATGCATAATTTTGATGGTAAGCTAATTGATTAAATTTTAAAATGTGCTTTTCCATGTTTTTCTTAGAATTGTCAGTAATTTTAGTTCAACTGTATGTATTCATACATAAATTATTTACCCAGTGTTGACAACTTGTAGATGTATATATTCTTTATGTATTTGCCTAGCCTTTTTTTGGGTAAGGATTAACAGAATGCATAAACGCCTACATTATAGGTGCACTACTAATCACTTGTTACTTGAAAAATCCCAAAGCTTTGAAATCTTTTTATTATTGCACACAAACCTCTGCCAGAAATGGAGATAAAGAGAAAAATGTCATCAACTAAACCCCAACAAAGAATAAGTTGGTAATGTGGCCAAAAAATTCACATGCTTCAGAAAAGTGCCCCTCCCACTCATCTTCCATGTGCTATTTCTTTCAGCCAACCTACTTAGCAATTCTATATTTATCTTAATAAACATGAATGACAGTTGTTTAAGTTATATTAAATGTGATGTAATAAATCATTTTGTTTACATTTTTAACTTTAATTTTTAATGTTTTAATGAGGAGTAGTACTGCTCTTCCAAGTACTACTGCTGTACCTTACCTTTTGCTGTTAAGAACGTTATATAGAAATAAAATTCCAGCTATTCTAAAACTGTACCTTAAACAGGTACAGAATTGCTAAAACTCTGCACCATTTTATAGTTTTAGTATGCTTTTGTATAACTGCATCTGATCTTTGATCCTCATAGTAACCCTGTTAAGAAGGAAGGGTACATATTATTGCCCTTGTTTTCTTTAAAAAACACATAAGAGTTTGTATTTTGACTGTCAGCATTCAAATTAAGTCTTTTGATTATAAAATATATGGTCTTTACACTGTAGCCAAAATCTTACATCAGTTGTCATGATTTAAAATGGTTTATACCTATTTTTTGGACATTTATACACATATACATGTTTTTAAATTTACGTAATAAAATCATGCTCATCTTTGAAAAGATACTAGAAATATTACAGTGGATCCCTACATACTTGCTATTCGACGTACCTGGTTTTTTGTTTGTTTTTCCAGACAGAGTCTCTTTCTGTCTTCCAGGCTGGAAGGCAGTGGCATGATCTCGGCTCATTGCAACCTCCGTCTCCCAGGATTAAGTGATTTCTCGTGCCTCAGCCTCCCAAGTAGCTGGGACTACAGGTGCACACCACCACACCCAGCCATTTTTTTGTATTTTTGGTAGAGATGGGGTTTCACCATGTTGGCCAGGCTGTACTTGAACTCCTGACCTCAAGTGATCAGCAAGCCTCGGCCTCCCAAAGTGCTGGGATTACAGGTGTGAGCCACTGCGCTTGGCCCATTTTAAAATATGCTTTATACTTTTCATTAGGGAGAAGAAGGATATTTGTGTCCAGAATTTTTAACACATTGGGGAGATTTAGATGCCAGTAGTAACTTAAAGAGAAATTATTGCAAATTCTTTTTCCTCTTGAGTATACTTTCATTTAAAGTAGTTTTCTGTAAGTTGCTTTGCACAGTTAAACTTCTTAATGTTGTTTATTATTTGCCTTATATTTCTAGGTTGAATTTTTCTTAAGTCACGTGTCTAAATAGAAAACCCCCTAAATGCCTCATTTATTCAGTATCGTTAGTGAATGTATTGTTGTACATATTAGATTTTTCCTTTTAGATAACTCAGTTTCCCCTATTAAATGCCATGTGTATTATATATATTTATGTTTTATTTTTTAGTAAACTCTTGAGAACTAGATATATTGTAATCATTTGTAATACTTACATTTTTAAAAACATTTTGTTTTTCCCTGGTTTCTTCAACAAAGAGATACATGTTGTACAGGGATAGCTTTACCTCTGTTGGAGGATTGTTGCACACATTTACATCAACTACATCTGTTTTTGCTGGGCTCCTAAGGCCAGCATTACTTTTTGCTACTGCTGTTTCTGCCTGCTAAAGGCAATATGCCTCGATCTAGTTTGCTGATTCTGATATGCTTTCCCCTGGAAAGTAGGTAATCAAGTTTGTAAGGAACTGTGTGTTTAAGGAGTCTATAAATCCTTATGAGGAACACTAGGTGTAAAAAGTATAGCTGTAGGGCAGAGGCCTTTGACACTTATTTTGCATATGCAGTGGCCTTTGCCTATGGGGTTCATGGGTCAGAGCACTGTTGTGACCTTTGAATAAATGGGGTGTTATGATAATTATTTTAAGGGAGAAGAGTAATTCCGATATTATCCTTCGTATTAACATTGCTCTAATTTATTACTGAGCTGGATTTAAGTATTAATCATTTAAGATCAAATTTCTAATGTATATATGTTCTTCAATGGTTACAACCCAGTTACCATAGCAATTTAGTGAAATAACTATAATGGAACATTTTTTTTGAATTTGGCTTCTCTTTTTTTTTTCTGTCCACCAGGGAGTAACTATTCCCAGTCAGAGGCGCTATGTGTATTATTATAGCTACCTGTTAAAGAATCATCTGGATTATAGACCAGTGGCACTGTTGTTTCACAAGATGATGTTTGAAACTATTCCAATGTTCAGTGGCGGAACTTGCAGTAAGTGCTCTAAATTCTCATCCTTCCATGTATTGGAACAGTTTTCTTATCATATCCAGAAGTTTATATAAAAATTTAGAAAGAAATTTACCACACTTGAAATTTATGCAGGATACTATATTTCTGAAGCATTTGAACAAATTAATTAGCTTGGTTGTTCAACTCATTGACCTAAAGAAGCCAAGAGCAATGGTTTTTAATGTAGTCGAAGCCAAATTATATTTATGAAAGAAATATTCTGTGCTATAACCACCAAATACAGCCCACATCTGACCAGCTGACTGAAAAACCTGTTCCATCAGAGGTCCAGCATGAGGGTAGCAGAGGAATTCAGCAATTTGCTTGTCTTAGGGCAGGGATCAATTCCTTAATATCTTAGGAAGACTAGATATTGACAGTAATGGTGACAGAAAAGGAAAGGAAGAAGTGATAAGACATGGCAGCAAGCTGAAGTATAATAAGGAAATAATAGGAGTGTTAGAGAAAACCTGGATTTAGATCTGGATTCCAGTCCTAGAGCTGTCATTAATCTAGATGATGTAACCCTGGGCACATCATCTACCTCTCTTTGAGTTTGCTTGTCAATAAAATGAAGAGACTTTGAAATCTGAAACTTCCTAGATAAGTACTAAGTACAGATTATGTTTACTGATGTCTGCCTCTAGTTTATTTCTCCCTTTTATCCTAAACTCTGTGAGTCTACCTCAGTCATCCTGATTCCATTCTGCTTCTCCATTGTTGTTTTTCTTTGTCAGATAGGTGTGATCATCATTGTGAGAATGTTTCTGTGTTCTTAGAGACAGGTAATTTTATCAGAGATCACATTAGTATAGCCTGTTAAAGGCTTCTAAAGAGTCTCATTGATGCTCTTTTCATCTCAGTACAATTTTTTAAACTGCTAAATATAAGGTACTGGGCTGTTGGAAGTGACTGACAAAGGAATGTAACCGATTCATAGAGAAGGAAAAAGGAAGAAAAAACTCATGCTCTTCCTATAGTATTGATTCCAGTGTAAGAGCCAAGAGAAAAGTATAAAGTATCATGGAGTTATTAAGAGAGAGAAAACATTCACTTTAGTCAGCTTTCCTAATTTTCTAGTTTCTTCTTATGTTCTGTGATTTAATACTGTAGTAAAGCTTTAATAAAATATGAGTTATATGTAATTAAATGGGAGGTTGTGAGGCCAGGCGCAGTGGCTCACGCCTGTAATCCCAGCACTTAGGGAGGCCGAAGCAGACAGATCTCTTGATCTCAAGAGTTCCAAATCAGCCTGGGCAACATGGTAAAACCCCATTTCTACTAAAAATACAAAAATAAGCCAGGCATGGCGGTGTGTGCCTGTAGTCCCAGCTACTTGGGAGGCTGAGGTAGGAAAATCACTTGAATCCGGGGCGCAGAGGTTGCAGTGAGCTGAGATTGGGCCACTGCACTCTATTCTGGGCATCAGAGGGAGACTTTGTCTTAGAATAATAAATAAATAAATAATAAATAGGAGATTGTGTATATAAATTATAAATGCTGCATTCAGAGAAATGTTTGAAGGTTGTCAGTTTCTTAAAGTTCACCAGCTCTTTAATGAACATTAGAGAAAGCATACAGTTTTGACTGGCATTAAAACTAAAAGAAGTAGCCTGATGCAGTGGCTCATGCCTGTAATCCCAGCACTTTGGAAGGCCGAGGTAGATAGATCATCTGAGGTTCAGGAGTTCGAGACCAGCCTGGCCAACATGGTGAAACCCTGTCTCTATTAAGAATACAAAAATTAGGCATGGTAACATGTGCCTGTAGTCCCAGCTACCTGGGAGGCGGAGGCAGGAGAATCGCTGGAACCTGGGAGGTGAAGGTTGCAGTGAGGCAAGATTGTGTCACTGCACTCCAGCCTGGGTGACAAGAGGGAGACTCTGTCTCAAAAAAACAAAGCAAAACTGAAAGAAGTATTATAGACAATGGGAAAGAGCTTGAATTGAAGTGCAGCAGAAGGAAATTAGCTGGACAAGTATGTAGTAATAAAGAATAGACTAGAAATGGAATATGCGACTGACAGTTAAAGGATCCTCAGTGGGGATAACAGACTTGATTTGATAAATGCTGAGATGTCATGATAATACTTGAGGCTTAAACCATGTTGTAAGGACAGTTGTATGTAAGGTTATAATTGCAAGGGGAAAAAATAGTGGAAAGGAAACCAGTAATACAACTTGCCTTAATGCAGGTATGCTAGGACAATCAAATGGGATTTCATTACTTTTTCATTTGCCATTTCTAGTTGAAGATTTTGTAAAAGTTTTAATTCCAGTCAAGTGCAATACTCACAGAAAGAAAGAAAAGTGAATCTGAGACTTGAAGACATTAATGTTGATACTTTGATTTTAAACGTGTTTTAAATCTGGTAAAAGTGAGCTTCTCACATGAAAATATTAAGTGGGTACTTGGGAGTATGGGTTCGAATCTAGGTAGGAGATAATATCAGTATTTTGGGCAGCATCAGGAAAGAGAGAGTAGTTAAGCCTTTCATATAAATATGGTGTGGCATTTGGGGATGGGAAGACTTGGAGGAAAGGAAGGAAAGGAGAGGGTGAGGACTAAGTTAAGAATGGCAACTTGGCCAGGCGTGGTGGCTCACACGTGTAATCCCAGCACTTTGGGAGGCCAAAGTGGGTGGATTACGCGATCAGGAGATCAAGACCATCCTGGCCAACATGGTGAAACCCCATCTCTTAAAAAAAAAAAAAAGAATGGCAACTTCAGTTTAGGAAGAAGAGGAGAAATCAGTGAAGAAAACAGAGGTAGTACTGAAATACAGTATCTTCTGTTGGGATTAGCAGCTTTTTCTTACTTGATTTTTGTCTTAATATTTCTAAGTGATGGAAAAAGTTACTATCTTCTAGACATTTAACAGGATTAAAAATATTAATAAAAGATGATCAATGTGGTTTTCATTCAAGACTATAACAATATGTATATATCCAAGAAAATTTAATTCTGACTTTAAAAAATTGTTTTACTCATATAAACTTAGGGACATAAATGTAATTTTGTTACATGCATAGACTGTATTATGGTGGTCAAGTCAGGGCTGTTAGGGTATCCATCCTCGGATATACATTGTACCCATTAAGTAATTTCTCATCATCTATCTCCTCACCCTTTCAGGTCTCCATTATCTATCATTCCATTCTTTCCATCCTCATTTTTTTTTAAATTTAATTTAATTTGATTTTGAGCCAGAGTCTTGCTCTATTGCCCAGGCTGGAGTCCAGTGGTGCGATCTCGGCTCACTGCAGCCTCTGCTTTCTGGGTTCCAGAGATTATCCTGCATCAGCCTCCTGAATAGCTGGGATTACAGGTGCATGCCACCATGCCCAGCTACTGATTTTCATTTACTGGGTTTATTAGGCTGTTTTTGCGTTGCTATAAAGAAATACCTGAGACTGAATATTAAACAGATTTAACTTGTTTTCTTTATAAATTCTTCTTTAATTGGCTCACTGTTCTGTGGGCTGTACAAGAAGCATAGCAGCATCTGCTTCTGGGGAGGTCTCAGGAAGTCTTCATGGCTGAAGGCAAAAGGGGAGCATGGTGAGAATGGGAGCAAGAAAGAGAAGTGGGGGGAAGGTGCCACACACTTTTAAATGCCAGCTCATTTATCACCAAGAGGATGGCCCAAGCCATTCATGTGGAATCCGCCCCCATGATTTAAGCCCCTTCCACTAGGCCCCACCTCTAGCATTGGGAATTACAATTCAACATGAGATTTGGGAGGGAAAGATACCCAAACTGTATCACTAGATCTGACCTTGTTATTAATTTTGGAACTTAGTCATATCTGAGGATGTATATTGTAGAAATCCACAGAACCATACTAATATTGGGCTTCTGCTTAGTTAGCTCTTATCTATCTGAAACATAATATTCATATTGCAGAGAAGATTATTTTCTTTAGTGATTTGAGGAAATCTTTACTAAAATTTTTGGAGATGTACATTTTAGATGTTGTTTAATTGAAACCTGGAAATACTGTTAATTTGCTTTTTAAAGTCTTAAAATCAGGATTACCAGATTCTGAATTAATGGAGTTTAAATTAAAAAGATTATAAGACATTTTTGTGATTTTATTCTGGTTAATTTTATCACAACTTTGGAATCCTACCTTGTTTATTTGCTGCTTCAAATTAGATTTCCCAGTGAAATTTTCAGTATCACATAAAGTCTTACGAAATGGCTCATTGTACTTTGAACCTTGAGTCAAGGAAGTGAAATTTATTGATACATTGTTGGTATAATAGATCTCCTGTTTGTGGTAGCTTTTTCAAATAATAAGAATTAGAATATTAGAATATTAGAATAACCTGCATGCTTTTGTCAAACATACTAATTATGTGATTGCTGATACTGCTTTAGATACTACATAGAAGTAGTAGGTATTCACTAAACTGGAAATTTCATTTGACCTGGTTTAGCTTTTGCCTTGTTCTGAGTCACATTGATAAAAATATAAGATTTTTCTTTATCTTTGGCTGAGAATTTTATGTTTGTTATATATACATGATAGTTATCATACACTTTATATAAGCTTGTGTTTCTGTTTCTCTATTATCTTGGCATGTTTTCTTCAAATGACACTTCTTAACCTCCTAAGGTTAATACATTTCTTTGTAATGGACTTTTGTTTTCTAATTTCTCAGTGTATGACAAATGAATTATACTTTGTTAAATTATTAGGTAACTTTAAGTTTTCCAAGTCCTAGGATTTTAACATTCATCAGTCTTTAATTTCTGTCATTAAGGTCACTAGGTATAAATGAGTTTATGAGTAGATTTAAAAAATAAAATCTAATCCTTCCCTTAA